CTGACAGGTCCAGCTGGGAGACTGCCCGCCCCCCAGCGCTGCAAACTGGTCAATATGGAGGCCAATTACTGCTGCCCATGTGACCAGGGCATCATCCAACCCTATCATAACACACACGCACGCACATGCACGCGTACACATGCCATCTGTGTAGACCAGCAACGAACCCCAACCCCCTCTGATCCAGTTGCGTCCCTGCGCACGCTTCTACTTAACCTCCTAAACAGGAGGCCAGCCACGCCCACCCTCCGGAACCTCCTGAGCATACCGGAACTGGGCCATGGTAAGGATGTGATACAGGTCAAGAAGAGTTTCTGTACTCAAATTACGTGAACAAACATTTCTGTTCAGGTAGCCATCCTATGCGTCAACATCTTGCACCGCAGAAACCCCGGAAAAAAGCACCTGGCCACCCGCCAAGGTCCTGAAACCTACCTGGCTCTCACCCTGATCTTCACCTCTGTTTTTTTGGGGGCGGTTTTTTGCACCCCTGGCAGTTTATCCCTGCCCCTTTTACCCTCCAACCTCCTATCACCCCTTTCCCCTCCACCTTACTTCCTCCTCCCCCCACCCACCTCTTTTTCCCTTGGCAGAACCTCCAGCAGTAGCACACTCTCAGTTTAGCTTCTGCCTCGTCTCCTGCCCCACTGCCCGTACTCCGCCGTGCCCCATTGTGCGATAACAAACAGATGTTGTGGAATTTCCTCTGAACGAACTGCCAGTGACAGGCCTGCACCCTTGTCTGGCAGTGTGAGGGGCGGGGGTGCGCACTGGCACAGAGTTTGGCAAAAGGGTTGGCCGAAACCTGCGCGATTGTTTCCTCAGTCTGTACACATGTGGAACATTTCAGTTTTTCAGCGCTGCTGCGTGCGCGCAGGTGCCAGAGAAGTTAATGTAAGCACTGGTGTGTGTGTGTGTACTTTCCTCATTCTTCCTTTTTTTGTTCATAAATTATTAAATCTCTCTCTCTCTCACACTCTCTCTCTCTCTCTCTCTCACACACACACCACACACACACACACAGTGTTGTATATTTCTCTGTCTCCCTGTCTGTGTCCCTTTTAACTGACTCATTTTGTTTTCAGTCACAGACAGATTGCGACAGTTCACAATCTCTTGAACAGATCATCTTTTCCCCCCATCGACTTTTAATTCCCAGCGCTTTTATCCCCCCTCATATCTTTTGCACATATTCTTAACTGATATCTGCATTTAGCAAAACACTCGATTATTATTTTAGCTAGACGTTAATTGGAATTCACACCATACTACTTGTGACATTTTGATAATCGCACTATTGACTGTTATGTCGGACAAACACTCTAGATTTTTTCCCCCTACCAAGTTGAGTGAGAAAACGAGTGGGCATGAACATGATAATTTAAACAGCGAGATTCATTCACTCACTTTTCATCCTGAGTGGAGCACGGAGTGTCACTGGAAGTTTTTTTTTTCTTAAGTCAGACTAGCTGAATGATTTTTTTTGTAAATGCAATTTAGTTTTTATTTACGATATCACCACAAATTATACATTAAATGATTTAATCACAGAAAAGAAAAAATGTTTGCAGAAATTCATAAACTCTATAAGAAAAACACTTGTGAATTCCTCATCTCTTTTCTTTTTTATTGACGAGAGCTGCATATATTTATATTTAAAATATTTCTCAGTTTGACCTTATTGCACACTCTTTTATGAGCTTATTGTGTCACAACCTCTCTTTCCCTCTACACGCACTTAGCGCTCACGCAGAGGCCTGTAATCGTTCCATGGAACTAAAAGCATAAATGCGTTCACTGCATGACTAACAGTGGCAAGTTAGTAGACCAGAGGTTGCCAATCTAACTGATTTGCTCTTTTTCCTTCAAAGCTAAAACCTTTTGCAAGCTGCCTGCGATTTTTTAAATCAACTACTACTACTTTCTTTCAAATTTGGCTATCGCGTGTGTCTGTATGTGTGCCATCAGCCTAATTTGTTGCAAGGTAACCGCATGTGAGGACTTTCAACACCCGCAGTTAAATTCCAAGGATGCAACACAACCTTCTTGCAATGCATGAGCTCGTGTACTACATAACATTAGAGAGAAATATGCATATTCATAGGCCAACTCTTCACAGAAATGCCTTACTGCTGTGTATCTGCGTGAGTTGTGTGTACGATGTGTGTGTGTGTGTGTGCGTGTGTGTGTTTTGCGAAGGGTTACTCGGGATGAGCGCTCTCGTTTTTAAACGTCCTGGATAATGAACAGATGCTGCAAAAATTAGGAAAGAAACATCGACTCCTCCCAGCAGTGCCACTTTGGCCCGGTGAACTGGCACACTGGCGCACACACTGGGTTGTCCTCTCCGGAGCTCCTGGTGCTGCTGCTGGGGAACATTAAGGGACTTGGCACGGCTTTCCTCCGCCAGGCTGCCAGCCTCTCACTCTTTCACTCTCACCGGACTGTGGAGGAAGAGGAGGTGGTGATGGTGGTGTCGGGGGTTCTGGGAGTATTTTGATAGATGCCCTCTCCCACTGCTGGCTGGATTCACTTTTAGATTGGCTCCTCCAGAAATCCATGCAGCCTCTTCTTTTTATTTATTTTTTCTGCTGATGAGGCCAAAAAGAACATAGGGGCACAAAAGTGTTAACACAAAAAAGCAGAGTGGGCCTCAGAGTTTTATGTGGGAGGAGGTTTAAAGCAAATAATCCGAAACAACAGTGTCTGATCATCGGTTTGATTCCCACCAGGGACTGTCACTGCACCCATGAGTTGAGCTTCTATAAATAGAAGTATTTGTTTTAATATATTGATCAATCTTCAATGATATTTATCACATAAAACAACATACTGTTATTACAGAAGAATTTACAGACTAGTTGAGGATCAGTAAAAATATATGCCGTCAATATGTCCGAACTACAAAACGTGTAACGATATTTTTCCTGTTACAGGTATGTTCACGACAAAAAAACTCGTCTTTTTTCAAGCTTTTCGGGGTATTATAATTTTTATATTCCACATGACGATATCTTCCTCTTTTGGGGAAGAGAGAGATAAAAATGGCAATTTTCATAACTTAGTTTTCACAATAAAACACTCATTTTATTTTTAAATGATGTGAATCGTCGTTAGATCAATACCTAGTAAAGACGTCGAGGTTAATAAGTTGAATATATACGTTTAATTAAGAAAGTGCTGATTTTTTTTCTCTTTTTTTGACGGAAACTACTGTAAGTAAAAATAGTTTTTTTTTTTTTTTATCGGTGCATGTTTTACACAGAACATTATTACATTCTCACATAACTTATGGCGTGTCGCATTCATCCAAACCCTTAAGCACTGATATCAGCAGATTAAATTCATGGGAACACACAGATTTACCGAACTGACAGGAAATGATCAGCAAGTTGTTCCAGAAAAAAATACACGATTCCAACATTTCAAAGCAACATTTTAAACATCAATATAATTAAAACATTCTCCGCTCCCAAAACATCTGATTTATTTTAAAAAGCCGTGGAACAATCTGAGTTTTGCTTTTTGATATATTTATATAATTATTTGTTTTCTCTTCGGTGTTGATGTTGCGTACCATCACCCGCCACTCAGGTCCTGTGTGTGTCATTACAGCAGTGAGCACCCACCACATTTTGGGGAGCATATGGGTTCCAGGGCAGAGCTCCAAACCCAGCCGGGGTCGCAACGGCTGCCCCTTGCACTGTGACAGCGTGTGGACACCACACGCTGATTTTTCTTCCTTTAAATAATAAATACATAAATTAAAGGTGGTTAAATTGGTTTTTAGAAGTTATGTTATTCAGACTTCTCCTCTGTGATAAGCTGATGTGTGTGATAGGGAGAATTTACACCTCATATATCCACCTGAATTAATTCAAACACCTGATGAATAAGCCTATATATTCATATCGCCGTATTACTGAAGTGTTTAAATGTTTTCAGATGTGTTAAAGTTTGAAGAAGGGAACTTTTAGGAAAGGAACGTGAACTGATTATACATCAGCATGAATATGTTAATGAATAGTCTTTAAAATAATATTGTTTTAACAAATATTTGGATTTTAGCTGGTGTCACGGCTGCATTGCTTTCGTTGGGTCAGGATCGCAAAGTGTGTGTGTGTGTGTTTTACACAATTATAAATATGAAGGCATTTGAAACAAACAGGCCTAATGCTTATGTATCAATGATGTAAAGAGTATATAAGCGATCGAAATAATGTGATGATTAATAGAAGAGGTGTTTATGTGTTTTCCTTTTGGTGTTGGAACTTTAGACTTCTGAATGAGCGATGGAATATTCTGGTGCAAAAGAAAAGGACATACACAACGTGTTTGTTTCCTAAAAATCTAAAAAATCACTCCCAAAATTGAGCCCTTTATGTTCTGCATGGCGTTAAGCTTCACACTGCATGGACCAAACACCAGGTGTAAGAGCTGTCCGAGGTGCTGAAAGAGACTTCTTTCTTCCTTCTTTCTGGTCAAGAAAGTGTGAAGGAGACTCCATGATGCTGTTAATTGCAGCGCTTAGCATAATTTAATCTGTATTTTGTGAGTGTGTGTGTGTACGTGTGTACGTGTGTTCACCACGGTGTCCAGGTTCTATTCATCTTGTAGATTCTCCCTTAAGCCAAATGTCCGCAGTACATCTGTTGACGTCCTGAGATACATCCAAATCTTTCCATTCATTTTTAAAGGCTGAGCCCTTCGCCAGGCAAAAACGACGCACTGGCATCATTTTAGTCAATCGAGAAAGATGGCAACACCGATCTCTTCCTCCTGCCCTATTTTATAGGATAAAAGCCCCGAGGCTTGGAGGAACTCCTGCAGGTTGTGGCACGAGGCCCGGTCAGGCTCATAATATCCAAAAGGAGTGATGCAGTCTATGCACCTTTTTTTTCTTATAAATTAAAGTCATTTTAATTCGAGATGTGGTCTGTAGGGGATATAAAACGCATGTAGATGTCCAAAGACTTAAAAAGGAATCAATTTGCACAGTCTCGTTTATCGTCGTTTTATTGTACCACACAGTTTGTTGAATACAAAGTTAAAAGACTTGAGTCTTTTCAAAAAATAAAGCAATAATAATATTAATAAAATAAATAAATTAAAATAACGAAAGAGCAAAAAAACAGAACAATGGTCAGCAACACAGTGTTCCCTTCATTTCCGGACACTATTAACATTAATTAGAAAACAATACAATAAATACGTGCAATAATAATGATAATAATAATAATAATAATAATGACAATAATAATAATAGTGAAGTGTTTAGCATAGCAGATTGCAAATAGAAAATATGGAACCAAAAATTTGATTTGAAAATAAAATACAGTGCAATGGCTCACTTAGAAGAGCAACGGTAATATGTATGAATAGAAGTAGAAAATTAAATAAGAAAAGTTCCGATTCCAATGTAATTTATTATATTTTTTTTTATATTTTTTTGTTTATTTATGTTTTTATTTTAGAAGTTGAACATTGTGGCCAGCCCATTTTCAGATTCGTGTTTATTCCTGTGTGTGTGTGTGTGTGTGTGTGTGTGTGTGTGTGTGTGTGTGTCTGCGCGCACCCGTGCGTGCAGCAACAGTGCTGATGAAACATACAGTGTCCTTCTGGGCCTACTTGCCTCGCTCTGTGGCCTCGTTAGATTTTGCATAGACGCAGAAACGATTGATTTGCTGTAGATTCTTCTAAAGCAACTCAACAAGTACAGTTCTCAGGATTTTTCCCTCTGTTTTCGTCTGGATTTAATTATTTCTAAAAAAAAAAAACAAAACAAAAAAAACAAACCCAAACAAACATACAAACACATCTTTCCAAATGTGATGTCGTTTTGCTCGGTTATTCATGTATTTTATTAGAAAACCATCGCAAATATCAGGGTAGAGCTGTAGCCAGTGATGTAGTGGTGAATAAATTAGTGCGTAAACTTTGACTCCCAGCCATGAAAATACAGACAACCACCAATACAAAGACAAACCACAGATTAAAATTATGAACAATTTAAAATTCCATTTTCCTCATTAGTCTTGATTTGTTTGTCAAATTTCCGCTTAGAGATAGAAACATTGCGCAAAATAACAGTTTGCAGGTTAGGTGGACTACCTTCCACTACATCTCTGACTATAGCAAAAACATGTTTTAAGACAGAACAAATTAAAAGAACAACACTAATGACAACAAGTGGAGGATTTCCCCCAGAATGCTTCAATCCTGGCGGGTAAGCTTGTCAAAAAGTGTGCCGTGGATAGATTGTTGATTGCAAGGGGACGCACGATAGGCTTGTCGTCTAATTGTGAAAAAACGCGTTCAGTTCATCATACACGGGGGCCCGTTCGTGGTGTATGTGCATGTCGTGGTAAGGCAGGACGTTTTCAGTATGAATACCGCTCCTGGTCCCCGAGGAGCCAAACACCAGGTTGTGGGCCCCAGCGGGTCTGGAGCCAGGCAGACCGGAGTAATGCATAGAATAGTGGTACCCCTTCTCGTTGTCGGGGGACGCAGAGCCTTGATGCTTCAGGGAAAAGTTGCCATTGATGCACAGAGGCGGACTGAGAGGCCCCTCATATTCGGGACTGTTATACTCCGGGGATCCGCTCCCGCCATACAGTGAGTCGTAAGTCGAGCAATAGCCGTGTGTCCTCAGCGGGTGCGAGTTCGAGCCCGGTTGGCAGTGGGGGCTAGACAGACGCGCGCACTGGTAAGGGTAGGAATGCATGGAGAAGGAGCCTGACCCATACCTGCCCCCCTCCTGGCACTGCTGCTCAGTGAGGAAGTTGCGGGAGTTCAGCTGGAGGCATCCCGCCACCAGGTTGGTTGTAGGCTGGGAGAGACCCTTGCACAGCGTCTGGACGTAGGACACAAGGTCAGGCCTTTTCCCAGAGCGTAATATCTCAGACAAGGCCCAGATATAGTTTTTGGCCAATCGTAACGTCTCAATTTTGGACAGTTTTTGTGTTTTGGAGTAGCAGGGCACCACTTTACGCAGATTGTCCAGAGCAGAGTTCAGGTCATGCATGCGATTGCGTTCTCTAGTATTTGCTTTCATCCGCCGCATCTTGGAGCGCTCGACCCTGGCCTGGGTCATTTTGCGTTTTTTGGGGCCCCGTTTCTTGGGCCTGTCTCCCTCCGTGTCCTCTCCGTCGTCCTCTTCTTCCACTTCGTCGTCCTCGTCGTCTTCCCCATCGTGTTCTGAGTGAGTCCGACTGTCTCCTCTTAGACCAGAGACCTCCATGCCGTCCTGGGTGTCCTGATCCTCCTCTTTGATCTTGTCGCTGTCGCTGTCTTCGGCCCAGCCGGAATATTTTTGTACGTCGGGAAGCAGCGAAGGATCACTGAAAAGCCTCGTTAACATTGTGGATCTAGAGGGGAAGGGATATATCGAAAATTAGGCCTCGGAATCACAAGACATTTTGTGTGGGCGCTACAGATTGCGTGACAGCGAAGAAATTTCAGATACAATGGTTCCACAAAAACCCTAAATCAAACAAAGAAAAAAAACCCTTCCTTTATCGCACTTCTCAATAAAAAATCAAATATTTGGCTTATTTTAGGATTATACAAACTCCCGAGGATGTATTATATTTAAGGTTATTGCTAAATTGTTGTTGTCCCAGAAAAAATGACAAAATGCGTAAATTTGGGGAAAGAGTAAAAGTGAAAGAAATCCCTCAAATCTTTAGGCTGGGCTACAGCCAGACGGATCCCCATTTAATTCCCTGCTGTCAGTCGTATGCCCTGCCGCGTCCTATCGCAGCGGGTCCCAGCGGCAGGGGCCACATTACAGGTCCCATGGGGGCCCCCACTTTCACTCCTCCTGACGCCCATATACACTCCTGGCTGCATTCCAGCACCTCTGCTCATGGCAGGCAAGGCAAAGAGGATTTTATGTAATTGATAGGCTGTCCACCTAAATTTTGTCTGATCATATATACATTTATATATATACGAGAAAAAGGGAAACGGAACACAAAAAATCCGTTTTTAAAACATGTCACATCAATGAAAATAATAATAATCATAGTAAAAGTACATAAATACTGTCACTATCATTATAATACCTTATTATTAACCGTTAACAATTAATCGTTAATGACACTTGCTGACTGTAACGTCTGAAAAACGAAACGAAAGTGATCAGCCTACCACTTGATTAGCAAATGCAGTCCCATCACAGAAAAAGAAAGACGCAGAAACACGGTGATCTTTGACAGATTCAATAAGGCTCCACTGGCTTCCTCCCTGACATGTTCCACTTCCGAGCTATTATTATAGTGCAGCAGCAGATAGACTTGCAGCTCATGGTAAGGTAGGCTGTGGTGGTTGGTTAATTATCTCGGGGGGTGTGCCAGGGGCAAAATCTAGTTTTTAAATCTCAGGCTCAGGAGGTTTGCTCAATTAGAAGCAAAAACACAACATCGTTTAATTAACAGACCGTGCAGCTTACACGAAATAGATTTCACACATAATTCAGTATGCACGAGTGCACGATTTCAAAGCACTTTTTAGTCAGCGATAACCTTTACAGATGGAAATCGCTTGTATCCTTTTAGCCCTCGTTAAATATATAAAAAAAATCAAGTCGTGAAATGGCCTCTCTTGCAAAGCCTCCTGCCCCTCCACTGAAAAAGGCTCTGTTTATGGTTCAAACCATGTTGTGGCGAGATAGATTGTTGAAGATAAAACTGGACAAACAGAGATAAATCATGCCGCAGACTGCCTGTCACAGTCAATGGCGTTGTCCCACCCTTTCATTTGCTCCGAGACTGAACGTGCAAATCATCGACAAAATCATCAATAAATCTCCCATTAAGCTCGAGGACGTCCTCCATCAAGGTACCGGAGCCGATTTATAAAAACAAATCTTCCACGGAAATGTCTCACACTCATTGTCTTTTGTTTGTCAGATTCAAGGTCCAGACGCAGGAATCTCTAAATCAAATTAGTGTCCGATGTGATCTATTTACAGCCCGTGCGCTGTGATCAGGGCTGCTCCAGTCCTCGGAACCGCTCCTGTAAATGATCATAAAGCAGTGAAATCGGGATCAGGAGACGCTTGGCTTTTTGACTTGAGCGCGTTAGGCTATCTGATTTATGATAATCCAGCTAGTTTGGGATGTTTGAAGTTAAAGGGCAAGCCGAGCAGGTGAGAGAGTGAGGAGCTATTTTGTGCAAATGCGTCCGCATTGGTATCCAACAAAAAGGCAAACACGAAAATTGCACGTTAATGCATAACATTTTTTTTTTGTTGGATTGGGTTTCAAAGCGTGCCATCACCGGCATTGTGCTTTTAATCTAGTGGATCGATCCCAACATACCAGAGCAAAGTCACTGACACTGGAGGTGACTATACATTTACATTTTTACCTGTAGAATAGACCTTTACAATCAAATGTATGTGCAATAAGTGTGTTTAATTCACCTCTAACATTTATTAAAAGTTAATTCTGACAATATATCCAAACACCTGGAATTAAAATGCATTTAAATTATAGATTAAATTTCTCCTACATTTTGCACGGACACTTCAGCAACACTGATAGTTTTTTTTCCTAAGCCTGTATTTTTTTTTGTTCCAACTTACCTCGGCTCGAGCTCTTCGCAGGGGATGGGAGGAGAAAAAAAAACGCTCTTTACTTTCAGACCATCTTCAGGGACCGCACGAGCGAGTGAACCACCGCTCTCTATCAGAGTATAGGTGCAGGAAGCGCGCGTCTTTCTTCACTGGTGCTGACGTTAAGCGGTGCCGCTCTCCCAGCACGCGCGCCCGAATAAGTGGAGCTTGTGAACGAACGTGTGTCTTGGCTGTGTCTTTGTGTATACGTGTGAGTGACTGAGTGAGTAAGTGAGCATGTATGCATGTGTGTGTATGTGTGTGTGTGTGCGTGTGGCAACCGTGAGCTACCGGGGACGGGGTTACATACCAGCTATGGCTGTGATGCCAGCGCCCATATGGCTGGCACGTCACCGGCAAGAGCCATCACATGAGAGCCCGGTGATTGACATGCGCCCGCATTCGGAGAGATTTGCCCTCCCGGGGGAAAGAGAGACACACAGAGAGAAAGAGAGAAAGAGAGAGAGAGAAGCGGGAGGAGGTAGATGTGGTGGTGGTGGAGGAGGAGGAGGAGGGCTTCGCCATCTGTCACCGCGCTAGCGCTCACACAGCCAGAAAAAAGGAGGAAAAACAGAAGAGAGAGGGAGAAAATAAAATGGTGGAACAACAAAACTCATCATTGTTGACCTGTGCTGCTGTTTCAAGACATGTAAGCTACTTTTTTTTAAATCAAACCTGTGAAATTTGGTAATCCCCTGCCAAACTCACGACTCGGCGTTTTAATACAATATAACAGAGAGCTGCACAAATATCCCCGCACTTACGTACCACGAAAAAGGTGATATTAAAAGGGCTAAAGACAATTAAGTATGTGAAGTCATATCAGAAAACCCACTGATGCTAATTCCATATATTATGGTAGTCATCACCCTTCAGCATCACCCATGAGGGATATACTCTTATAAAAATGTGGAATAAGTGGCAATACAGTGGGTAAACTAACCAGCAGTCAAACAAGAGCTACTTAAAAATATCTGAGCAAGCAATTAATCAATTATCTTCTCTCAAAGTCTATCCTCAAAGCCTATTATAAAATGATATCAATTAACTCTCATCAAATGAAAGGTGGGCAAACCGTGTTTATTTGTGGGGTTTACCCTCCACCGCAGCTCTGGTTCAGAAGCTGAGTGGGGGAGGGAGATGGGGATGCATTATAAGTGCATTAAGACCGTGGAACAGACGGCATATTGTTTATTTATTTACCTAATTGGATCAAATTATGCTTCAATGTATTCAGAGGAACGACAACCAAAACCAACTGTGATTTGTTCTGACTCTTCTGGGCCCAACACTGGCTGCAGATGACCCACTTGCCGGAGCTTCAAATGAATTAGATTAAAACATATACCATTACATAGGCTTCAGCTGCATGCATGGCGTGCGTGTGTGAAGATCAAATGTTTACTGGTAACTGTGTCTGAATGTGTGAGGTTTGCCAGAGCTGCTGGTCATGTTTTCAGCATGCAATGCTAAGCATGGAGGGCGGGTGGGTGGGGATGTCCACAGGGGCAAGTGTCACAGAGAGAGGGAAAGAGATACAGAGACACAGTGAGAGGATGGGTGAGAGAGAGTCTGAGACCCAGGTGTGCAGACCCACTAGGGATGTTTGAAAAATGAGGAGGAAGGGGGGTGTAGCAGTAGATGACATGCTGGTTGAATCTGGCAGAGATCCTCAAGATTTAGGAGGCATGTTGGCACATCAGTGGCAGAGATGCAAGAATTCCTTGCCACCAGCGCCCCGGTCCCTCCAATATGTCTGATTTGCTGCATTGTGTCCACCCCAGCTCAGAGATCTCTCTATTTAGGAGGCATTAGTGGAGTTAATGTGGGAGAAATGAGCCTGATGACCACCAAGTCCAACTTGGCACAAAGACACCCATCGGGCTGAGGGAACAGGGACCTGGAGGCTGAGAAATAGCTGATAGAAGCTGATCATGTCCTTGGGTCTGGATCACCCCTACATTGCCTGCAAAGCCACAACTATGGCAGTGTTTGGGAGGTTGCGGGGTCATCCCTGGGGTTAACGCTAGTGTAGCAGCTGTGGTTAGGGAGCCGTGATGTTGCACATTCATTAATGTGTCTCTTATCCCTTATGGGAAAGAGGGAATGATAAACTGGCAGTACCTTGAACCACGGTGGTGTGATTGTGTCAGCATGTGTATTTGTGTTGAGGGACACTGAGCTTCACTGCTAGCCAAATTGGTGCCCTATTCTACCTCAGCTGGACGGTGGAGGGAGGGAGAGATGCGAGCGCTGTGGCGATGGGAGCCTGGTGCATCCCAACAAGTCCAAAACAACCTTCAGGTCACCTTGCCAAAATAAATGCTAAATGTCAACGGCGTGGCTTTAGCCAGCACTGGGCTCAAGGCGGCTCCAATCAAGGAGAGTTTGATCTGAAATTGAAATGCCAGAGAAGAGCTTGTTTGGAATTATGATGTTTTAGAATGACTTTGCATCCGGTTTGTATGTGGATTAGCATTAAGTAAGGACCACCTGCTGTGCTTTTACAGGCTAAACGCATGCAGTCAGATTCTAAATTAAAGCCCTCTCCCTTTAAGATCTCAAATTCTCCATCACTCGTTTCCTCCATGTTCAAATGACACATAAGAGCCTTTCAAAGTCATCAAGCCACACCTCCCTATACCGTTGTCATTCCCTCACCCCTTCCTTCTTCCCTTTTTTTACTGTCAGACGTGTGAGGTGATGACCTGCACTTCACTTGTCTTTCTGGAAGAAGTGCAAACTTCTGCTGGCACAAATATGAAATACAGCTCACATGCACACACACACATATACGCACATATACACACGGACCCTCCCACCCCCATCAGACTCCCGGACCCCATCTGCACTCTCCTCTCTCCAGTCCCCTAATTGCATATGCACAAATGCAAATGCCTATTAATTAATTACTTGACTAATTAGTGCAGTGGTATTTTAGGGCGATAAATCAAGTAGAGATGGGGCCGAGGACGGCGGGGCAGGAGGAGGGCTGCACGGAGCATCGACAATGAACCCACACCAGAGGGAGTAATCCTAATGTACAAGGCTTGTGCGCGCGTGTGTGCTGTGAAGAGAATGTGCACAGCAGAGATCCTGAAGTAAAGCACCGTTTAAAGATGCTGAAGAGACCAAAGAGGTGACTGAGGGAGGTGAGTACTTTCAGTCTGGAAGAGGAGGTGAGAAAGGTAGCCAGAGAGAGGGGAGGCGGGGGGAGAGAAGAAATTGAGGTAGGTTGAGAGATGACCTCTGCTCTGCCAACTGTGCTGTTTCCTGGCACGCGGCCAAGCTCGGATGCTCGTTGCACCTATTTTCATAAAGGAGAAGGGCTCAGCTACATACTAGGACTGCTACTGATCCATATTTATGCTCACATTGTAAACCTTGTACAATAGTTCAATGAGCATAACAGTTGGCATCATTTACGCAGCGATACTGATGTGATAATTGTGGCATCTGTGATTGGGAGGTGAATAATTCTGGCAGCCATGATAAGCTGTGTATCCGTCTATGTATGTGTGTGTGTGTGTGTGTGTGTGCCTGTAGGTGTGCCAGGCCCCCACCATAGGTACCCATGGAGATCTCCGGACTGAAATATTCATTCTTGTTTGCTCGCCCAGACAGTGTGGTCCTAATTGCAGCATCAGAAAGCTCCACCTCTTCCTCTCGTCTGGCTTGGCTGCAGCAGAGATAAACCTCATCTGGGAGCAGGATGTCTCTGTAAGTACGTGTGTGTGTGTGTGTGTGTGTGTGTGTGTATTTGTACACCCGTCCTCTTTTCTGGGGTTTTTAGGTGGGTGCTTGGCTTGCTCTTCCTTCGCTTACTCGCTCATTTACAAATGTTGCACACAAAGCCCCCTTTTCGAGGAGCGCTTCTCATCACAAGTCTGTCAAATTCATTCATTTGATTTGCTGCATGTCACATTTTCCCCTTGCATTTCAGCTTGTCTTCATGCCTCATTCCTTCTGCCTGTGATGGAGTTGGGTCGACTATTGATCTTTCTGTCAACATGTCTGTCTGTCGATCTGTCTGTCCACAGGGCGAATATGAGGCTCTGGAGTTTTTCATCAGTTCCCGTGCCAACCCTACCCATGCCTGGCCAAGCTGAACCATCTTGTGGGATTTTTGGCTTTTAATTATAGTAAGAGAGGATTAATTATGGCAGTGGAAACAAGGGGCCATGCATTATTGATGCTATGAGTGAAGGGCTGGAGGGGGTAGAGGGTGCTAATTAAATCACTGCCCTACTGCCATGTCCTCCTCTGTCTCTGCCTTCACCATGTCTTCCACCTGCTACATCTACAGCACCCCACCCTACTTTGCTCCTGACATCCAGGCACACGTGTATTGTTGCTCTCACGTATCTATCAGTCACATCACCCTCTATTATCCTTGAGGAAACCAAGTCAAAGTTTAAACACTGAGTTTCTCTCATTGTTGCCTCATGTCCGTTCAGCTTGTCCTTCACCCTCATAGTCCTGTCTTAGAATTTTTTCCTCTCTGTTTTCACTGTATCTTGATTAGACTGCCGCATCCTATTAAGAGTGATTTATTCAACTGTTTAATACCCCTCAGTGGCAACACGTTTTTAAATTTGCTTTCATCCTAAACGATCACCTCAGTTTCAGTTTCAACCCCCACTAGGAAAGTTATTTCTAGTCAACAAGGGATGAGCCTGCTTAAGAGCCAAATGTAGCAAAAGGGTGCCATCTACTGGAATTTTTTTATAATTGTATCCTTTATTATTTAATGGTGCTGAGTTGAGCTTTGAGTACAATCTGTATTTACCCATCACTTATCACAAATTGAAGTGGAATTTGCAATAAGTGAAGTGTAAATACTGTCAGGCTTTTTTCTTTGGAATTTCTTTTAGTGCTTATTTCATACTAGAGATTATGAGTTTAATATATTAAAAATATAACACTGTAATATAATTTGTTGATATAAAAAGCAACCTAATTTCTGGCAGGTGTGCTTTCCACAAGTGAAAGTGATATGCAGGGTGTTGCACAAATTAATCTACAAAATTACTTTATGTGAAAGTCCACCAAAAAAACTACAGGACATATATGTATGTCCTGTAGTGTGATGCAAAATATATACATATATATGTATATATTTTGCATCTATACTATCTAGATTTTATTGTCTAGATTTCCTGAGAATGTATAGTTGAAAGTATGAAACTCTACTGTCCTTCTGTTTGTGAACTGTGACCTCAGTGGTGTTCTAGCATGGTCTGTTGCTGGTCTTTACACACTAGTCTGGGAACCATATTTTACTTTTCAAGCAGCCTATCACACTGAAGTTAAATTTTAAGAACAATTTGCATTGACTTCTTTATTGTTTCAGACGGTTTTGTGTCCCCTGATGTGTTGTTGTATATTGTTTTGTTCCTGAATTAATGTTTTTTTTCTTTGCATCCTGTGTCCTTCACTGATTCTCTTGCAGGTTTATTTGTGCGATCTTGTCCTAACAAACTCCAGGGGGGTAATTCCTTTTATGCCTGTCTGATTTCTGCCATATTTCCATGCACAGCACTCAGTGTACCACTTCAGATGATGGCTTCCACAGATGGCACCCAGTGGTTGAAGGAACCTGATTCAATCAGACAACCTGGTTTGGCGTCAAACATCCACCCTGCTGAAATGGTGAGAAAAATCTGAAAACAATCCAAGTTCTGCACAAAAATAACTCATAACCCCCCCCTTCCACTAGCGCTAATATCTAATCAGCCAATGAGATCGCAGCAATTCAGTGCTTTAGACATGGTCAGGATGAAGTGCTTAAGTTCACACCAAATATCAGAATGTGGGCAAAAACTAATTTAAGTGACTTTGAGTGTTTTTTTGGGTCAAAGTATTTTGGAAACTGCTAATCTCCTGGGATTGTCCTGCACAACCATCTCTAGGCTTTACAGTCAAGAAAAAAGATAATATCCAGTAGCTGGCAGTTCTTTGGTGAAAATGCCTTTGATGTCTGAGGACAGATGAGAATGACCAGACTTAATCAAGCTGATGGTAAAGCATCGATCAGAGAGCATCCCTGAATGCACCACACATCAAACCTAGAAGTAGACGCCCACACCAGATACCACTTCTGTCAGCTAAGAACACAAAAACTGAGGGTCCAATTCATATAGGTTCACCAAAATTGGACAATAGAAGACTTGAAAAATATTTCCTTCATTTCTGCTGTGACGTTCGGGTGGTCAGATCAGAATTTTTGTCAGAATCATGTAAACATGAGGCAAAATCTATGAGCAATGTTTTCAAAGAATTAAGGTAATTCTGAAGGCACAAGGGGATAGAGCCAAGTACCAGAAAGGTGTACCTAATAAAGTGACCAAGGAGTGTATGCATATATACATTAAAACAAATGAAAAGAAGTAAAGCCTTCAAGACAAAAGTCGTTTAAGAACTTGTAATTACACTAGTAGAACAGTAGATGGTACACAAGCATCTTTAGTCAACACAATGCAACATAATGTCACCACAGTTGGTGCTGATACTGCTGGGAAGGGCAGCTTTCCCAGGTGTATCTGACTGTGTTTTTTTATATGAACAGAGCGTGTTTATTGTGCGATGGTATGTTATATAACTGGATGAGTGAGGAGTCAAGTGAGGTGCTGACTGATACACAGTATCTCTCTGTGCCCCTCAACTGAGATGCCACCTGCTATTATGTTATAAAGCCTCTCTGTCATCCAGACTAATGGAATACTTCACCTTTCACAGTGATTTTTCTCCCTGAAATCCCCTGTGAATGTGCGGGTTTATTACTACTACAGGACCCGGCAGGTAGAGAGAATTATGCTAGCCTCAAAGAGACGGGTTAATCTGTTATATTGTTGCTTTTTTTTTTACCAACAGTTACACAGTTCCTTGTTCCCTTTTGTTTTTGACACGACTTTATTGAGATAACCAGAATGCATTTTGTGCTTTGGGGGTTGGGGTATCTTCTGCAGGGGGTCT